GAACACACCCGCCCAGAACACATCCCCCCAGGACACAGAGTGCGGTTTTACATGGCATCGCCACCCAACTTCTCTCCACACAAGATGTTCTCGGAATTCTTTTTTCTTGTTTGTTTTTCAATTATACTTCTTTATTGATTTCAGAGAGGAAGGGAGAGGGAGAGCGAGATAGAAACATTAATGATGAGAGAGAATCCCCCACTGGGGATCGAGCACACAACCTGGGCATGTGTCCTTGGCCGGAATCGAACCCGGACCCTTCAGTCTGCAGGCCGACGCTCTATCCACGAAGCCAAATTGGCTAGGGCTGTTCTCAGAATTCTGAGTTGTGCTCCCTTCTAGGTAGAGAGAGAGAAAAGAATGGAACTGGGAGTGGCTCACACTGTATTTATAAAGTTTTGTCTCTGTAAACGAAAGAGCTGCGGTTTTGGCAAAACGTGGATGAATTTAGGGGCAGAGCCTTACACCAGGAACTGGGCACATCCCTGGGTGCTCTGCCCGGGCCCAGGGTTTGGGCCAGAGATGGTCACGTGCTGCTCAAAGTGATGATTGAAAGAACAACTCTCAAAACAGTGGTTCTCAACCTTCTGGCCCTTTAAATACAATTCCTCATGTTGTGACCCAACCATAAAATTATTTTCATTGCTACTTCATAACTGTAACGTTGCTACTGTTATGAATCGTAATGTAAATATCTGCTATGCAGGATGGTCTTAGGCGACCCCTGTGAAAGGGTCATTCGATCGCCAAAGGGGTCACAACCCACAGGTTGAGAACCACTGTCTCAAAAGTATTTGTATTGAGATCTAATTCACAGACCACAGCCTTCACCCTTTAAAGCGTACCATCCAGTGGTTTTACATATTCAGAGATGCACAGCCATCCATCGCCGCATCCATCGAGGGGTGTTTCTGTCACTTCAGAGGCAAGCCTCATCCCTTTCCTCTCCCCCACCCCGCAAGCCCTCGGCAGCCTCTAATCTCCCTCCGGCTTTGCTGATTTCCCCTGGACGTTTCCTAGACATGGATCCAGACGGTGTGTGGCCTGGCGTCTGGCTTCTGTCAGTCAGCGGTGACAGGGCTCATGCTGTCCGTGTGTCTGTGCATCCTTCCTTTGGTGGTCGAGGACCCTCTATGGTGCCTCCATCTGTTGACGGACGCTTGGGTTGTCCCCCGTCTGCTGTTGGGAACAGTGCCCCCAGGGAACGTCTGTGCACAAGGTTTTGTCTGAGTCCCTGTTCTCAGTTCTGTTGGGTAAAGAGCACTTCTTAGCAGGGAAAGGAGATGGCGGATCCCTCGTGTGTGGTCGGCGCCTGGGGGAGAGGGACCTGCCGCCTCGAGTCTCCGCGTCCGGGGGAGGGTGGGCCCATGGGGCCCACGCGCAGCTGGGACGATTGTCTGAGACTCACGGGCCTCTCTCCTCTGCAGTGCGTCTCTACGGACCCAACTTCATCCTGCAGGTGTACTCGTCCCAGAGGAAGTCCTGGCACCCTGTGTGCCGAGACGACTGGAGCGAGAGCTACGGGAGGGCAGCGTGCCAGGACATGGGCTACAGGTGAGTTCAGGGTTCCTGGCCTCGCGGCTGGAGCTGGGCACCATGGTGACAGAGAAAGGCAGAAACCTCAGAAAGACCAGTGGTTCTCGCCGCCCCTCCCTGGGCATGCCAGCCCACGAACAGCACCTGCCGTGTCTCCTTCCCAGGGCTGCTTTGGGAAGCCAGCAGGTGGCACTGCTGCCCCCCACAGCA